CGCTTGGCTTTCGCCGCCGCCGTCTCCAGTCGCCCCTGGTCGAGGCAAGTCCCGAATTTGGATGCTTTGGGCACAATTTTCCAACCAGACGGAGGCGAGAGGGAGAGCGATGATGGCCACAATCACCAGCCTGATGAATCCTATGGTCAGAGCCGCCCTGGGCAGCCTGGATGGGGCTTGACTTCCCGGGGTGCCCGGCGGGATGGGGTGCGTCGGGGGGTCGGGGGGCAAAGGAGCATCCGAGCCGCTCTCCGCGTTCTCCAGGAGCCAGGGACCATCGCCAACGCGATGCGGTGCCGTCTCGCTTGATTTTCGGAGTTGCGAAGAAGGGGTCGGCAAGAGTCTTGGCAATTAGAAAAAAAAAAGAAAAAAAAAAAAAAAGAAAAAAAAAAAGGAAAAAAAAAAAAAAAAAAAAAAAGAAGGGGAGGGGGAAAAAAAAAAAAAAGAGAAAAAGAAGGGGAGGGGGAAGAAAGAAAACAAGACCCCAAGCACTCAGCGGATCAGACTGCGTCCAGACTGCATGAAGTGCATTTTAAAAATCGGTTTTAAGTTAATGCACCCACAAGATGTAGCATATCTGCGAAGGCATTGGAGAGAGGGGGAGGGGCTGGGAGGCTTTAAATGGGCTTTTTGGTGGTTGCTTGTTTAAATAAAATATAGAACGAGACTTGTCATTTAATCCCTCAAAAGGGATGCCTTACAAATATCGATGCTGCTGGAAAATGCAAGGGGTTTAATTTTCTTGCTTTTACTCCAAACAAAGCTCTGGTGGTGTCTGCGCGCGATCAATCTTGGCCGCCAAAAGGTTTGACAGCTACTGGCCCTTAAGAACACATTTAAAGCTTCTTGCTCTTTCCAAGATCAAATGTGGCCGAGAAAAGAGGCAGAGCAAGAAACGCAAGTAAACAAGGAAAAAAGCTGCTTTTAAAATATGCTGGCAGAGGAGTGGGCTGCTTGTGGGAAAAGTCCGGTTTTATTTTGGTTCTCAGTGCCTACCTTGGGGTCGGGATTTTCTTTTTCTTTTCTTTAATTTTTTTTTTCCCCTCCTCTGGAAAATATTGGGATTAACAGCAGGATGACAAATAATAAAAGGGAGAGGTTTGGACTTTAACCAGGCTTTGTGAGTAAAACCTGTGTGGGTGTCTCTATTCTGCACATTTGTTTCTTGTGGTCAGTCTAATACAAAAACCACCTGGAACAAAACCTTTGGAGAGGGGAAGCGAAATTCTTGGGCAAATCAATTACTTTTGCCTCCAGAGGGATCTTTAAATCTGGCGAATCTTTAATGCAAAAATACAAATTATTATTTGCAACCTACAGGCTCCGAAGAAGGGGCTGAGTAGGTTTTCTGGAAAGAAGGGGGCAAAATCGTGTGTATTTTTCTTGCTTCGGAGTGGGAGGGGGGTGAAACGCCAAATTCTTTCTGGTTGAAAATTTTCTTAAATGTGATTTCTTAAATTCGCGATGCTAAAGGAGCCACGCAGTTATGAATTATCGCTTGTACCGTTACCTTTTGTTGTACCTAATCTAACTGATCCGAGGGGTGGGGGCCCGGCCTGAATTTGATACGGGCGCTCATTTGAAACGAACAATCTCTTGCAATGTTGCAAAAATGCTTCCTTCACCTACAAAATAATAATCAGTGGTTGGTCCGTATTGGGTAATAATCCGATTCCAATGAAAATGATCAGAGTCCATAACCTTTCCTTCCACAGTTACATATCTATACATATACAATAAGCAGCATGGTATAAATAGATTTGCAACTCCTTCCTTTGACTGAATATTCTTTATCTATTTACCCAGAAAAGCTCTACACAGATTCATGGATGCATGACAATGTTTCAGCATTAGGTGAGGCTAGTTCTGGGAACAAGATAAAGCCCAAAGATTAATAGTATTTCAGCATGAGACCAAAATGGCGACATTTTTTTTCTGTGCTCTAAAAGATACAGATGGTGAACAGCGTGCGTTATTATCTCCACAGCATAGGAATATGTCTTTATAAACGTGCAGAGGTATATTTTACCTAGTCTATTAAGGTCCGTTTTGATTTATCTTTCAAATTTCAATCTAAAATCTACGGACATTTGGCCTGAAAGGAAATAAAATCGGATTTAAGCACACGCTTGCGGGTTTCTGCCTTCCACCCCTAACCGGTTCGGCCAGGAGACCCTCGCCGGTGCCCGTTTGGGGCAGGGACAGTCTCTCTTCTGCAGTCCCGTGTGCCTCCCCCCCCCCATGCACACAGACACATACACGCACTGACACACACACACACACACACACACACTCATACCCACACCCCCGCCAGAAGACAGGGAGCACAAGGCTCCCCTCCCCCACTGCTTCAGGCTGCGGTGGGGAGGGAGGGCGGGTCAGCAAAAATGAAACAAGCCCAAAATAAAAGAAAAATTGATATTTTTTCTTAAAAGGGAAAATATATATATATATATATTCAATTTCTTTAAGGAAAAAGGAAAAAACGGCGGCAGGGCTG